TGCTGCTGCTGCTGCTGCTGCTGCTGTTGCTGCTGCTGGTGCTGCTGCTGCTGCTGCTGCTGCTGCTGGTGCTGCTGCTGCTGTTGCTGCTGGTGCTGCTGCTGTTGGTGGTGGTGGTGGTGGTGGTGGTAGTGGTGCTGCTGCTGCTTCTGCTGCTGCTGCACTCGTGCTTCTGCTGCTGCACACTCGGACGGTGCTGCTGCAGCTTGTTCTGTCTCTGTTGCTGCTGCTGCTGCTGCGGGTCTTATTGCTGCTGCTTGCCTTTGTTGTAGTCCTGCAGCAACCCCACAGACAGCAGCAGAGGTATGCTGCGGTAGAGAAGCCAAGCGAAGAGGCGAAGACGACGAAACAGCGTTGCTGCTGCTGCTGCTGTTGTTGTTGCTGCTGCTTGTGCTTCTGTTGCTGCTGCTTCCCCTGCCGCTGCTTCCTCTTCTGCTGGTGCTGCTGCTGCTGCTGCTGGCACGGATGTAGCCGCAGCTGTTGGTTAATGCTAAGGACGCAGGGTGTGCTGGTGTTGCTGCTGTTGGTGCTGCTGTTGCTGCTGCAATTGCTGCTGCTGCTGCTGCATGAGGTATAGTTGCTGCTGCTGCTGCTGCTTCCGTCGCTGCTGCTGCTGCAGGTTAAAGACGTTAACGAAGGTGCTTCAGGGCTGGGGAGTAGGGCTTTGACCCGCTGCTGCTGCTGTTGCTGCTGTTTGCTGCTGCAGCAATGACTAGCTGCTGCAGCAGGTTTGCTGCAGTGCTTCTAGGTGCAGCAGCAGAAGTCTTATTAATAGTTGAAGTGATTTATCTTCATTCATTTGCATGGCTTAAGATAAATGTCTATTGCTGCTGCTACAGCAGCCTGGGCTTGCTGCATGTGCTGCTAAGCAGCAGACCCGCAGCAGCAGCAGCAGCAGCGGCAGCAGCAGCGACGATAATGCTGCTGCAGCAGCAGCCGCTCGCGCTCCTCTTTTGTTTTCCTTGTGTTTTAATTGGCTTTTAAATCGCTTCTTCCAGTGGGGGGCCTTCAGCTGTCTAAAGCAGCAGCTGCCTAGCAGCAGCAGCAGCAGCAGCAGCAACAGCAGCAGCAAAGGCTCCCTTCTCAGCAAGGCGGCATGAGGCCGTTTCCTGTTTGACCTTTTTTCATAACAGCAGAAGCAAGAGCTGCAGCAGCAGCAGCAGCCGCTGCTGCTGCTGCTGTTGCTGTTGCTCTCGCTGGTGCTGCTGTCGCTCCTGCTGCAGCAGCAGCTGGTGCTGCTGCAGCTACGACGGCGTGGGGCCCACAAGGGGTAAGAGAATCTGCTGCTGTGGGGTCAGCACAAGCAGCAGCAGCAGCAACAGCAGCAGCAACAGCAAGGGGGACACCGCATGCAACAGCTCCACCAAACGCAAAGCCAACGCCGCAGCTGCAGCTGCAGCAGCAGCCGCTGCTGTAGCAGCCATTGCTGCAGCAGCAGAAGAAGCATATTAACACCAGCAGCAGCACCAACAACAGCAGCAGTAGCAACAACAACAACAGCAGCAACCGCAGCAGGTCATTTAAGGGCTTGCGGTGTATGTTAAGAGGCTGCAGCACGCATACTGTTGGTTCTTGCGGCAGCAGCAGCAGCTGAGGCAGCTGCTGCAGCAGCAACCTTTCCAGCGGCAGCAGCAGCAGAAGCAGCAGCAGCTGCTGCTGCTGCTGAAGCCGTTGCCTACTGACTTGACGTTCCTAGAAGAGGCCCGATGAGCAGCAGCAGCAACAGCAACAGCAACAGCAGCAGCAGCAGCAGCAGCAGCAGCAGCGGCTCTGCTGCCGCAGCCCTGCCGTCGGTGGACGTACAGCAGCAGCAGCAGCAGCAGAGGATGATTTCTCTGATGCCGAGCGCATCAGCAGCACCTGCTGCTGCTGCTGCATTACCTGCTGCTGCTGCTGCTGAACGTGCAGCAGCAGCAGCAGCAAATGGCGGGAGTGCTGCAGCTCCTCCTGCTTCTGCTCCTGGTGCATCCACCGCTTCTGCGGATTCTGCTTCTGCTGCAGCTGCTGCAGCAACTGCTGCTGGAGTTGCTGCTGTGCAGCAGCAGAACTCTACAGGCGGTGACCGTAACGAGGTGCAGCAAGCAGCAGCAGCAGCAGCAGCAGCAGCACCACCACCACCACCACCACCACCACCACCAGCAACAGGTGCTGCTGCTGCTCCTGCAGCTCCTCCATTGAGGAGCAGCAACGAGAGCAGCAACGGCAACAACAACAACAACAGCAGCAGCAGCAGCAGCAGCAACAATGGTGAGCCTGTGTTTGTAGGAGACTGCTGCTTCTTTCTGCTGTCCCCAAACGGCCTCCTTTCGTCTGTCGCAGGGCTTGAAAACCTACCGACGCCTCCACCCCTACCCGTAAACCCTAAACCCTAAACCCTAAACCCTAATTGCAGCAACAGCAACACCTCCAACAGCACCAGCATCAGTAGCAGCAGCAGCAGCAGCAACAGCATCAGCAGCAGCAACAGCGGAAGCAGCACCACCATCCCCACCTCCAGCAGCAGCAGCAACAGCAGCAGCAGCAGCAGCAGCAGCAGGTGTGGCTTGTGTGCGTTCAGGAAGCAGAAGAAGCATCTTATCGTGTGCTGCGCTGCCGGGCCTGCAGCGCTTTGCTGCACTTCGACTCCCGCGCAGTTTTCGTGCAGTGTAGCTGCTGCTCCACCCTCAATGCTGCGCCTCCTCAGCAGCAGCCGCAGCAGCAGCAGCAGCAGCAGCAGCAGCAACAGCAGCAGCAGCAGCGCGGGGAAGCACAAGCTCAGGGGCAAGAACCACTGCAGCAGCAGCAAAATCAACAGCAGCAGCAGCAGCAGCAGCAGACAGAAACTGCAGAAACAGAGCAGAATGCCCCAGTAGGAGGACAGGTACGGAGAGCTGCTGCTGCTGCTGCTGTTGCTGCTGCTGTTGCTGCTGCTGTTGCTGCTGCTGTCTGTAGTTTTTCTCCACACCCTATTCTGGTGGTGTTGCTGTTGCTGCCGATGCTGCTGCAGCTGCTGCGGCTGCACTCCACGGTGCTGCATCTGCTGCTTCTGTTGCTGTTGCTGCTGATGTTTGCGGCAGTGATCCACGCCCTTGTTGCTGCTGCTGTTGCTGCTGCTGTTGCTGCTGCTGGTGTTGCTGCTGCTGCATTTCGTGGTGCTGCTGTCTTTCAGGCTGTATCTGCTGCAGTTGTACATCCTGCTGCTTGTGTTGGTTTGCTGCTGCATTTTCTTTGCTGCTTCAATGTTGTGCTGCTGCTCTAATGTTTTGCTGCTGCTGCATGTTGTGCTGCTTGTGCTACGTTTGCTGCTGCTGCTGCTGCAGGTGATGATAGTGATATGCGGGCGCTGCAGCACTCGCAATATTTCTTTACTCGGGTGTTTGCTGCTGGAGTGCTGGCACTGTCATGCAGTCTGTCAGGTTGATTATCCCCCTTCTATTTTAGATAGGAGGCAGCGAAGCAGCAGCAGCAGCAGCAGCAGCAGCAGCAGATATGCTGCGCGGTTCGCCTTCTTTCGCCACGCCAGGAGCGCGAACCCACAGCTGCAGCAACAGCAGCAGCAACAAGTGTATCTTCACCATCAACAACTACTTCTGCAGCAGCAACAGCAGCTACTGCTGCACCAGCAACAGCAGCAGGAACAGCAGCAGCAGCAGCAGCAGCAGCGCCGAAGGCGATTTAGAAGAGTTGTCACCGGAGGAGACAGCAGCAGACGCCAGAGGCTGTGGGGTGCCCTGGTTTCGTCGATGAGGCCAAACAATGCTGCTGCTGCTGCTGCTGCACCTGCTGCACCTGCTGCCAGCAGCAGCAGCAGAACATCGGGTCGCCTACCTCGAGGGGAGCTGCTGCGAAGGCTTCGCAGAAGGGCTACAAACAGGCGCTCTGCTGCTGCTGCTGCTCCTGCTGCTGCTGCGGATGCAGCGCGAGCAGCACCGCAGCAGCAAGGCAGCAGCACGCAGCAACCAGCAGACCAGCTTAACGGCCGCAGCAGCAGCAGCAGCAGCAGCGGCTGGCAGTATGAAGGCCAGCGGCGCAGCGACATCGAGGGAGAAGCTGGAGGAGCAGCAGGTGCTGCGGACGAACGCAGCAGCAGCAGCAGCAGCAGCAGCAGCGGGGCGGCGCGCGTGGGCACCACAGCAGCAGCACCAGCACCAGCAGCAGCAGCAGCAGCAGCAGCAGCAGCAAGAGGAGGCAGCAGAAGAGGCAGGTTAAAATCAGAGTTTTCTTCCTTTATGAGGGCAGTAACGCGTCGAAACCCTTCATAAAGTTTGCTGCAGCAGCATCAGCAGCAGCAACAACAACAGCAGCAGCAGCAGCAGGCTGCAGCGGTGTATATCGTAGTAGCATTGCTATATTATTGTGCTTCTGCTGCTGCAGCAGCAGCAGCAGCAACAACAGCAGCAACAACAGCTCCCATACGGGCTGCCGCTACAACGTAAGAAGTTTTCATTCACTCTCACTTCTTGTAAATGTTTAAGCGTCTCCTAGGGTTCAGGGTTTAGGGTTTAGGGTTTAGGGTTTAGGGTTTAGGGTTTGTTGATGGAGGGAAGGGAACGGCGAAGTAGAGAAAATTAAATAAAACAAAGCACCGAGCGAGATGTAAATAAAGAAACAGCACTAAACCCTAAACCCTAATCTCTTACATAAGGTTTAGGGTTTAGGGTTTAGGGTTTAGGGTTTAGGGTTTAGGGTTTAAGGGGGATGACATATGAAAACAGATACGGGAGATAAAAAATTAATTTGATACAAAGACAGACACAGAGAAAAAGCAAACAAATAAACAAACAAACAAATAAACAAACAAACAAACAAATAAACAAATAAATAAATAAATAAATAAATAAATAAAACAAATAAACAAAAACCCTCAATAACTCTTCTCCGCTAAACAAACAGCACGAACAAAGTAGGAAGTAAATAAAAAATATAAATAATAAATAATAAAATAATAAAAAGAGATAAATAAAATATACAAATAATAATAATAATAATAATAATAATATAATAATAATAATAATAATATAATAGTAATAATATAAATAAAGACTAAGACAAAAAATAATAAAGTAAAAATAAAAGATATAATATAAAAAGTCTTCAAAGGCCTTCATAATAATCAGAGAGACGATAATAAAGAAATATATGCTGAATAATATAATTATTATTTATAATAATAATAAAATAAATAATAAAGATATTATAATAAAAGAGTTAATAATAAAAGATATATTAATGCTTCGAAGAGTTAAAGATAAAATAATAAAAGAAATAATAAATATATAAAAATATAACAAATAAAAAAGTTTAATTATTAAAAATAAAATAGATATGGATATATATTATATATAAATAAATAATTAAAGCAGCAATTAAATAGACAAACAAAAACTAAAAATAATAGAAAC